GCGCGCCGGGCCCGCGGCCTCTTCCACGGCAGGGAGTTCCCAAGATTGCCCCGCAGTAGGGACGGGTAGAAGCCAGACCGGGATCCGAGCTGCCCCTCTCCCTCTCTCCTCCTGAGGCGCCCTCGGGGAAGCCGGCGGGAAGGGGGCAAGGTGGGACTGAGTGCCCCAGAGATGCCAACGAGAAGGGCCCGGGGCCGCGCTTTTGGGTGTTTGAAATCCGTGGGTGAGGCGTTGGGCGATGGAAGGAGGCTCAGACCCTCAGAGAGGACCGGTCCCACCTGGCACTGGGGCCCTGGCTTCAGCTCGCAGGAGCCGCCGCACTCCGTTTGCCCAGCGGCGCGGGGGGGTTGGGGGGGCGGAGGGAGCCAGGTCTGTGGAGTTTGGGAAACAAGGAGCCCAGGTCATGGGGCGTCGCCTTTTGCGGATGCTGAAGAAAGTCCTCGAGCTGTTTTGTGTCCCCATCCTCACGGTGACCTGGAGGTCTATTTTTAACCACATTTCACAGATAAGCAAACTGAGTCTCGAGGAGGCGCGGCTGCTTGCACAGAGCACGCAGCCGGTGGTGGCCAGGCCCAGGCAGGTGTCTGTCCAGGAGAGGCCCCGGGCCGGCAGGTCGGGCCCGAGGGTGTAGGGACCCCAGCCGAGCTGGGGGCGAGCGTGGCTTCTGCCCTGACCCTGCTCATCTGACCCCCTTCATCCCTGATTCCCCGATAGTGGGATAGTGCCCGGAACCACCGTCTCCGGACGGGTTGGACTGGTTTGGGAGGCGGCAGGCCCGGGGGTGGGGCAGAGTCTAGCTACTTGGACAGGGCTCAGCAAGGCTGCCTTTCCTATCAGACCCTCCTCCCCTGAGGTCTCCTGGAGGTCGGCCCTCGGTGGGACCACCATTTCCCACCCACTCCATCCCTTCCACCTGGGGAGCAGTTCTGGCTCTGGGCCAGCAGCCCCAAAGGTTCTGTTCTCAACTTGCCATTGCAGCAAAGGTCCCAGACGGGTTGGGGGCCAGATGGAAGGGGGTGTGGTGCATGTTTTGTTTGCCCCGTACATACAATGTTTTTAAAGTTATTATTATTGAATATGCTAATTTTTAGAACCCAGAGTTTTCCTGCACTTCTGGATTTCCAGCTTCCTAGAATATCCAACATGTACCACCTTGGACCCATTGCCTGCAGCAGACTGGGTGTGCCCATTCACATTGGGCCCCATAGACATTTCAAGTCAATAAAACTGTACTGAATACCTCTTATGCGTCAAGAGTAATATCGTGAAGCTTAGATACAGTGAACAAGGTACCTCCTGCCCTCGTGGAGCTGATATTTTAGAGGAATGGGAACAACAAAACATAAAACTACCACAGACATAATAGATGAGTGAATTCAGCTTCCTGTGACTTGGGTCTTGTTTAGCTGCTCTGGGGACCGAGGTTGGTCACTTCTCTGCGTCTCGGTTTCTCCATCTGTAAAATGAGGTGACAAAGACCCATCTCCCTGGCTTGCTGGAGGATTACAGGAGAGGATAGTGTTAAATGTCTAGCAAGCACACAGTAGAGATCCCTGCCTCCCCATCCCAATCCAGATGTTCCCTCCTGGAATTCTGGATGTGTAGGTGGCGCTGCCCAATACATTCTGTTAAGATGGAAATGCTGCAGTCCGTGCCGTCTATTGTATGACCACCAGCATCTATGGCTACCGAGTCCTAGAAATGTGGCTAGTGTGATTCAGGAACCGAATGTAAATTTAAACTAAGGCTGTGGTTGGTGGCTATTGACTTAGACAACACAGCTCTAGATGGCCTGAACCTCCAGTCCTCTTGGTTATCACCTTGACAAAGTCCTCCTCCCCAATTAACAGATGAGAAAGTTCAGGACTTGGCCTACAGGTTTTCTTCTGGCCCGTCTCCAGGGAGGCTCCAGCCCTTCCTTGGAAAAAGGGACAGCGACACCGGGCTCTGATGCCCAGGTGATTACGTGGATACTTTGCACCCAGGTGTGGGCACTCCTGCCTGTGGGTGTCTATGCTATGGGTGCTGGCAGATCAAGAGTCTGCTGGATGCCCCCAAGCAGGGCAGTGTGATCGTGGGCATTTCCAGCCACGCTTGGAGCAGCATAGCTTAGGTCTGACGTTTCCCTGTGACAGGCACTCATGGATCACTGTGGGCCTGGCGTTGGCGTCCGGTCCTGGAAGCTGATGGTGCCTGTACTCCACTGTGGGGTGGGGGGGTGGAGGGGTGGGGATTTTCTGCCCTCCTCCCCCACAAACGCCGCTGTTGCTGCTCTGCCTGGGGCCTGGCATGTTTAGGCGGGTGGATGGCACAGAGCAGCTTCCTGTCCGGGTAGGCAAGGGGTGGAAGTGGTACCAGGCTCTCTGTGGGCAGTCCAGATTGGGTTTTAGACCTTTTTCTTGGGTTTTAGCCCAAAGGCTCCTGTGGCAGCACTTCCTTGCTTGGAGGCAGGAATAGAGCCACCAATATGTTGAATAAGCCTCAGTTTCCCCGTCCGCAAAATGGACTGGTAAGAGGACCCACTGCGGTTGAGCCGGCTGGTGCCCAGCACAGGGCTCCGAGCCCACGTTACTTCCTTTGCCCTGTCTTTTCTGCTCAGGCTGCGCCTGTTCTTTTCTTTAGCACCTTTTTTTTAACTCTGCCTCCCCTCGGCGGCCGGGTTCTCGGAGGAGGGCGGGGGTGTGGGCGGAGCCTCAAACCCTACAGCTGGTGCTTTCTGCCTTGTGATTGGCTCTGTGAGCCAGAGGCGTGGCCTTCACTTTTAATGGGGAAGGCGTCTTCAGCCTCTTCCAGTCTGCCGAGCCTTTGTCTGAGCGTGCTCAGCCCTTCTCTTTCTTTCCTCCCCTGCAGCCGTTGCCGGCGTCCAGCTGCCAATTTTCTGCCTGGATCGCAGTCTCCTCACTTCTCCCGTGGACTCGTGCAGAAGGCCTTGGGGTATGTAACAGTCATGCCTGTGGACATGTTGTCTCCTGGAGCCCGGGACACACCCGCCCTGCCTTTCCGCCTGAGGACCAAGGTCCCGGGCTACCTGCTCCGGAGGCCGGTCGACGGCGGAGCCCGGAAACCTAGTGCGGTGGAGCGC